TAAAATAACAAATGAGAAGTGAAGAGCAGATGGAAATAAAAGAACTGCTCAGCAATCCTTAAACCTTGCTGTCTCCATACAAATTGGACCCTGACTCAACAACTAGGACATAATTATAAAAACAAAAAGAAGCCTAATTGGATACTAACCTGCAACAATAAACAGAAAACAAAAATTATGTTACAAAATGAACGAACAAACCCATCTTAGTTACGAGTGCTAAAAGATTTACGGAGGTTGAATAAATGCTCATATACAGTTTAAAAAGGAGGTAAAATGTGTTGATATAGACACAAATCAAACCAAAGGAATTACATAAAGAATCAAAAAAAAAAAAGCAGATTCTCACCAGAAAAGGACAAATCTAACGACTTGTCTTCAGAAGAAGAATCATTCTCACTTAAAAGCTGATTTAAACGCTCAGCAAGAGAAGGTGGAACTCTGAGAATGAATTGCTCCTCCATGCCTACAAAAACAATGTTGAACTAAAAATTGTAAAACTATTAAGGAAAACCTAAGGTTTCATTTGTGCAGCAGGTTTTTTATCTTTTAATATCCCATGAATTAAAATTAATTAAGAATTATAAATTTAACAAAGGCAAAATTATACCAGCATCAACGATCTACCTAAACACTAGTGAAACAGCTTAAGGTATCCCAAAAAAAAAAAATTCCAATTATTATTTAATTTCTAATCGACTCCAACTCTCCGAGTTATCAAATTTTTGGATTAAAGCATGCTGGAAGTTGCAACCTGATGTCTATTAAGCATGACCCAAAAAAAAAACGCTGCAGAAGAAACTAAGGCTATTAGTCTATTACCAAAAAAGCTTCTCTCTTTTGAAGCCAAAGAATTTACCCAGAATGAAACTTCAAATAATTCACAAAATTCCCAGTTAACCCATGGATTTCGTCGAACAAGTATGAGAAAATCATGATTCGGCAAACAATTCGGGCATCAAATTACAGAATGAGAATTGCAATTAAAAAAGAAAAAAACAGCAGTCACCTTGATTAATTCGTTGGTTTGGTTGAGATGATGAAGCGCCAGGAAAGTCAAGCACCAGAAATAATGGTTCTTTTTTTTTTTTTCATTTTTATACATGAGAGAGATACTCAAGCTCACAGCTTTATCGGTGTACTCGGCTGTATGAGAATTTTGCCGAGAAGACTGGGCCTTTCTAGTCTTTCTTGGATCAATACTCAACAGGCCTTCTAATTTTATAAACCCAACAGCAGGCTCTATTACCGTTTTACGTTTTGGGTCTAGAGCTAGCCCTTGTGAAAATTTGAGAAAAAAAAAAAAGGTAAAAATATTTTTTGCCGTGGGGGTGGGGGATTGGCACGTGTTGCACGTGTGGAATGTAGTACCATGATAATCCATAACCCTAGACCATCTCTCACTAACCTCTATAAATCGGGAATCGGATGAAATCCACCGCTCAGAGCCGACGCTCCGTCGTCCGCCGCTTGCTTTCCCAACCCAATCCTGAAACCTGCCTTCACTGTTCGTTGTCTTTCCAGTTTTTTCTCTCCCTAGCTGGTGCCAATGAGAGGAAGGAGTTACAGTCCATCTCCACCGAGGGGCTATAGCAGAAGAGGGCGGAGCCCTAGTCCTAGGGGCCGTTCTGGAGGCCGTGCTAGAGATCTCCCTACCAGCCTTCTGGTTCGCAACCTCCGTCATGATTGCAGGTTTGATCTAATTTACCCTGTTTCTCTCTGTATTCAGAGTTCTGATGATCGAATCGAATCGTATTACTTCTTCCATAATTTAACGTGATAAAACCTTTTCTTTTTTTTGCAGGCCTGAAGACATTCGGAGGCCATTTGAGAGATACGGCCCTATCAAAGACATATACCTGCCTAAAGATTATTATACTCGGTGAGGATATAGTTGCTTGCTAGCATATATGTTGTATGTTGTATTTTTATTTTCTCGGTATTTGATAGAATTAAACATCTACACCTTATGGGAAATTTGTTCTGCATCTCATAGTTATTTAGATGTTTATGATATTTTAAGAGGCACAAATTAATGTTTGAAAGCACATATTCCCCTTAAATTGTCACCAAGCAGCCTCCAAGCTGTTTTTGCTGAATATATCTGTTTTCACAATGGGGGATTCCTTCAAGTATGCTCCTTTGTAATCACAAATTGGGTTTGTTAATTGAAGTTCTTGAGGTTTTGAAGACACCAATCAAGTAATAGTGGTAGTGAAGATTGGAAGGAAGTTGGGTTTGAATACATTGTGAAGATGTTCCAAGTCTTGAAGAGTTTCAAGTCATCTTTAAACTGATACTTGCAAGGTTAGCAGGCAAGTGCTTGCATTTTTGTGCTTATGATGACCTTCCATGTTAGTGTGGGTTATTTTGAAAGCAAAGGATACTGGTGTGAACAGTACCATCAGAATTTTTTGCAGTTTTTGCCTTGCATTGACAAGTGTTGTACAATTCTGCATGCAGGGAACCTCGAGGTTTTGGTTTTGTGCAGTATGTTGATCCTCAAGATGCTACAGAGGCCAAATATGGGATGGACGGTCAAGTTCTGCTTGGCAGGGAGTTGACTGTTGTCTTTGCAGAGGAGAACAGGAAGAAACCAACTGAAATGAGGCATAGGGAGCGAGGAAGGTAAGACTGCCATTGTATGTGGGAGTTACTGTCTATGCAGTTCTATATTTTAGTAAAAGCATTGTGTTTGTTTGTTTGTTTAATGAGTTTGCAAGGGTGGCTAGGTTCCATCATTTTTATATTATTTGGGAATCCATGTTAATATATTATTCCTTATTATTTAGATTCCTGCACTTATATATGTTTGGAGTTCCATTATTTTTATATATTAATATATAATACATTGGAGAAAGGGGATTTGAATCCAGCACTTTAGGCTGGGGATTATTCACTTTACCAATTGAGCTACTAACTCAAGTGCAAATGGAAAAAGATTTTGAGGGATAGCTTGAAGTAACCTTGCTCTCTAAGTGAAGATAAGAATCCTAACATGGGCTGTCTAAGATTATGAAACCTTGAAGTATCATTCAGATTAAGCTTAGACTCTAGTTGAGTTGCATGTGGAGCATTGTACTGATGCATGTGGCAGTATGAAGATTGCTATAGGTTACCTATGAAGTTTAGAATTTTTAATCTTCTAGATTTTAATTTAGTTTGTCTGAGGGTTCTGTTGTTAAACTTGTTTAATTCAGTGTCTCAGAAATGATGGTATCCCCTATCTCCACTTAACTAATAAGTTTTCTTGTGACCCCAGGGGGGGTCGTTTTCGTGATCGAAGGAGGTCTCCTCCTCGCTCACCTCGATATTCTCGTTCTCCACCTCCACGTCATGGGAGATCTAGGTCAAGAAGTCAAGATTACTACTCTCCTCCTAGAAGAAGTTATCATTCAAGGTTTGTGACTTTTTCATTTTTGTTTTAAAAAAAGAGCATCTAAATAATTTTTATTCCTTACTTCCCCTTTTCGTCCTGTTGTACACATGGAATTTTCTTTAATGCAAATGTTCAGAAGTAGGCAGTTGTAATTTGTCTCTCTTTTTTTTTTTGGTTTTGATTGTGTCTATGTGGCTGTCTTTTTTGATGCAGGTCAATTTCCCCACAAGAGCGAAGGTACAGTAGAGAGAGATCATATTCACGTTCTCCACCATATAATGGATCAAGAAGCCATAGTCGAACTCCAAATAGAGGCCAGAGCCGCAGCAGAAGCCAGACCCCCAGGCAAAGCAGAAGCCGAAGCCAGAGCCCAAGGCGTATCCCAAACCCAATCCCAAACCCAAGCAGAAGCAGAAGCCAGAGCCTTCACCAAGAGGATTACCCTAGGGAACTAAACGGAGGAAGGTCACCTAGACGTTGATGACATGCTAGCATCTTTGGTCTGTAGTCCTATAGTTTTAGGCAGTCGGTGTTTGTATTGAACATGTTAGGATACTTTCTGGTATCAGTAAAAACCTAAAGACCTGTTATTTAAAGACTCTAAGGTAACTCTTCCCATGGAATGGTTTTCGTAGACGGTAGACGTTAAATATATTGATTCATCTATTGCCCCGGTGCTAATTTTGTTTGGTGGGGTAGAGTTATTTGTGTGTAGTTGTACTGAATTGAACTCAGATTCTTTTTCCAGAGGATTTGAGGGGTGAGGGTTGAGCATTTAAGCCTGTTTTGTTTGGTAGAAAGGCAGGTGACGAGATTGGCTACTAAAAGGATCAACTTTTGACGTTTGGGATCTAAAGCGTTTGCGCTTTACAACCAAGCATTGCCTGTTTTTCTAAAGCTGTCTGAGTCATTCTCGGTGCCTTTTGGTGATTTGTAGTTCGCTAGAGATTCGTTCTCCTTTTTCCTACCCTCAAAATTTAATCTTTCTAGGGATTGAAACAATTTGTCGGACCTGAAATTGGTACGGGGTACAGTATGACTGATAAAAAAGAAATCATAGAGAAACAAAATAATACACAAAATTTTAATCTGAATTGATTAGGACCCTTTAATTCTATTTGATTGATAGTTATGATTGGACCTCAATAGCTGCATAAATTACATAATCTAAGGCTTACTTTAAGGATGCATAAATTACATAATCTAAGGCTTACTTTAAGGATGCTAGGTTGTAACATTAATTATTGATATTTGTTTTCTTTTAACATCTTAAAAATATATAAAATGTATTGAAATATGTATTTGCTAATTGTATCTTTAAAAATTTATAAAGAAAAAACCTCTATTCATTAAAAGAGATTAAAATAATTTATTTTAAAATTAAAGTTGAGTTTGTTTTAGTCAATTTTCATATGACTTTAATAAAATAAAATAATTTTAAAATGACTCTAATTTTACATAAACTCCACTGACAAATATCAACCTTAAATATGTTTAATATTTATTTTAAATAATATTTTAAGTATATTTAAAATAATTATATATTTTAAAAATATATAAAAACCAAATTTTAAAACAAGAGAGCCCAGGTATAATGTTGGACAGGCTGCACATCATAATCATCTCCCCAGTCTGAACGTTTCATAGACTTTTCCAATTACTCTGTCTTTTTTGATGACTTTTGGAGGGAAAGTTCAACACTCGTCCTTGCATCTGCGTGATTCATTTTCGGTTCAGATATACAACAATATTATAATTGCAGAGAAGACAAACAGTAGATGAAGGCTTAGGACCGCCCGCCCGTGTTTTTTAGTTTTTCATTGCAGGTTGAGCTCAGAGGGAAGCTGCCATTGGAGCAGAGGTTTCTTCTTTTTTTAACCTTCTGTTACTAAATTAATGCTCTAAATAAATGCGGTGAATGGGGTTGTGGGTCTGATTCTTCTTCTTCTTCTTGTTATTATTGTATTTAATTTTCCTTTAATTTAATGAAGAGGGAAATGGAGCTCCACAAGTGTGTTTCTGTCTTCTGGTTTCCTCACATGTAAGAAATACTGTTGAGTTTTTTGTACTGGTGCTCAGTTCCGGGTCTTACTGAGGGTTGTCTGTCTGAGTTTTTTTGAGTGTTTAGACTTCTGAGTGTGGATTTCTTGGTCGTTGCAGCAGGGGACTTGGATCAGAGGTGCTTCTAAACTTTCTTCTCTTCTTTTTTGTTTTTTGATGTGGGCACTTCAATAATGTTTCCTGAGGATATAGGCATTTGGGTTGTTCTTATTGATGTTTTCTTGGGTCTTGGCACCTGAGTTTGTGGGATTTGGCTTCGATTGAGTTGCGTTTCTTGATTTGCTTCCTGTTTGTTCTTCAATGCTTATATGCTTAGAATGTGAAAGGTTGGTTTGGGTTTGGGGTTTTAGATTTAAGTATCTTAAAAGGATCTTGTTTTTCCTTTTTGACATGTTGAGAAAGGCTGATTGCAAAAGTAACGCCCCTTAAAGGACTTTGTTTCTAAACAATGACACATCTCCTTCTTGTGCTTTCTTGTGGAGTGTAGTTTAGCTGAATTTGCCAAATCTCTACCCAAGTCAGGTTTTCTTCAGTGAAAGCTGCTACCTTGCTTGAAAGTGGCAAGGCCTTATCAATATGCATGCAAGTTTTGATCTTTGAAATTAAGACTTGAGTGTTATCTTGTGGAACTTCTGTTATTTTTGAAGCCAATATAAATATAGGATTTCGGTTTTGGTTTGGATAAGTTGTAAATTTACAATTTGAATGGGGCTTTTAGTTGCAGAAGCTAACTAAATTCATAAAAGGATACTGTTATATAAGTTTTTGAGTACATGGATTGAACTTGAAGCTCTTGTTCTGTATGTAGTCCACACAAGTCTTCAAATAGTAGTTACGACTTGCAATAATTGAATAGAGAGTAATTAAAGATAAATGATTCTTTTTCTTAAGTTGTCACTTGTCAGCCTTTAATGAATTTTTTCGTGGTCTACTCTATTTCATTTCATGCTGCTTGTGTTTGCAGTCCTTTGGTGGTTGAGCTTCAGCTAGAGAGTAAAAAGCACTAGACCAGACTAGTGTCTATCTTAAAGTTCTGTTGGATTAGATGATTCATGTAAAATCAGTTCAAAGGGTGCTTTTGCTCCTGAGTTGCTTCTTTACCAATGCATTAGGTAATTCAGTAACCTTGTTCTATTTTCTTTTCCACTTTACAAGTATTGGCAATAAAAATAATTATCATCTCAAAGGATGGTTATTATTAATGAGGTTGCTGGGACTTTTTGTATGTCTTAGGTGATTTTAAAAGAGCAATGAAATATAATCTTTATATGTAGCAGTCCTTACTGATTCAGATTTTTGAATTTCCAGGTGTATATGTTGGTATAAACATAGGCACTGATGTCTCCAGCATGCCACCTGCTTCAGATGTGGTTACCATACTCAAAGCCAATCAGATTACTCATATTCGTCTCTATGATGCTGACTCTCACATGCTGAAAGCCCTTTCAAATAGCAGGATTGAAGTGATGGTGAGTGTCACAAACGAAGAAGTCCTGGGGATTGGAGAATCCCCTGCAAAGGCAGCTTCCTGGATCAGTAAAAATATTGTGCCCTACATGCCTTCAACCAACATTACAGCCATTGCAGTTGGTAGTGAGGTTCTTACTTCAGTCCCTCATCTTGGCCCAGTTCTAGTTTCTGCTATGAATAACCTTCACAAGGCTCTAGTTGCTTCCAATCTAAATTTTCAGGTTAAGATTTCAACTCCCCAATCCATGGACATTATTCCCATGCCATTTCCCCCATCTACTGCCACCTTCAACTCCTCTTGGAACCCCACGATATACCAACTCCTTCAGTTTTTGAAGAACACTAACTCCTATTATATGTTAAATGCCCATCCTTACTATGGTTACGCTAATGGGCATGGTATTTTTCCCCTGGATTATGCTCTTTTCAGGCCACTGCCCTCATCGAAACAAATTGTTGACCCAAACACACTGTTTCACTATGACAGCATGTTTGATGCCATGGTTGATGCTACCTATTATTCTATAAATGCTCTCAATTTTTCTGGCATCCAGATTGTTGTCACAGAAACTGGATGGCCTTGGTTTGGTGGGCCTAATGAATCTGATGCCACCTTAGAAAATGCAGAGACCTTTACTAATAACTTGATCCGACGAGTTCTAAATAATTCAGGTCCACCTAGTCATCCAACTATGCCCATCAACACATACATTTATGAGTTGTTCAACGAAGACAAGAGACCTGGACATGTTTCAGAGAAAAACTGGGGTGTCTTTTTTACTAATGGGAGTGCCATTTATCCTCAGGGTACTTTTAGTCGAATTACAGGAAATTCTACAGTAATCTTTTGTGTGGCAAATGGGGGTGCAGATCAGGATAAGTTGCAAGCTGGCTTGAACTGGGCTTGTGGACAAGGCCAGGCTAATTGCAGTCCTATCCAACAAGGGCAGCCATGTTATCTTCCAAATACTCTCCTAAATCATGCTTCTTATGCCTACAATGATTATTATCAAAGAATGCAAGGTGTTGGTGGAACATGTGATTTCAATGGAACAGCTACAACAACTACTGTTAATCCAAGTAAGTTCTCACACACTTTGTTTAATATGCATCAGGGCATTATTACATTTGTGGGAAAGTTTGAAAGCCCCATGTCATGTAACAATTGCAAGTCCTTTTTCTGCTGTATTATGTTCTTGGAATCTATTTCTGACTGCTTACCTTATCCTATAGAAGTGAAGGTGCTGAGATTAACATAGGATGTAATTCATAATTTATAAAACACTTTTAACTTTGACAGTCTCTTTCAGTCTTTCTGTTTCTGGAAGAAGTGTTATTCTGAGAGGCATAAATATTCAATTGAGGAACTATGCTATAGAAGGTGCTTTTAAGGCAATCAGAACATAGTTCACCATCCTAGCGTTCAAATTTGGTGTTAGCTTCTGCCCTGTATTGTAATTCCATACCCTTGATAACTCTCAAAATGAGGTTATAAGCCCTACTCTTTGCACCTGAATCATATAAGAGTATATCATTCCTGCTAATGTAGTGTTAATAGTTGATTATTTGATCATGTTTTACATTGCCATATGCAGCCATTTATATTTCCTTCTTCCCCTCTTAATATTGTACCTATGACATCCTTGATTCCTTTCGCAGGTTACGGATCCTGTATATTTACTGGAAGGTGGGAATCTGAACTTGCTATCATTCACTACAAAACTACAAAAGTTAGCTTTCTAATAAAGCAATCTAAGCATGTCATGTTTTTTCGTTTTTGAAACAGTTCTAATTCAAGCACGGGCAGTGAGGGGCTTTCACCCGAATCACCTCCAACAACAGCCTCTGGTCCTGTAAGTCCCTTTGCAGGTAGCATGAACCTTCCCATTTCCAAAGTTCAGATTCTGATCACAGCAGCATGTCTTGCTGTGGTGATGCTATAATAACCCGGAAGTTTATTCAATCAAAACCTCCATGGTGGATTAATCCGGTGGACAAGACTGTATGGAGTAATGAGAAACACAGCTAATTGGGCGCATCCTAAGTCATTAGGATTCAGAATTCACAAGCTTTTCTCAGTGACAACCATGGTTTCTCCGGAGCTTCTTTGTGGCCTTATTCTTGCTCATCCTTTCAATTTTGTATCTGTCTGGGGTTATTCCATGACGTAGTCATTGTAGTTTGATCATTTTCCATGTAGCATAAGACTTCACTTTTTGGGACAATGACCAAACTCATGTTTCTGGATTTTATTTTAGTGGTAAAAGAATTAACAATTGGAAGGAAACCAAAAACCAAGGAGAAAAAAGAGGGGGGCAACCCAAAACCAAGAACTGTTACCAACAACTAATACTAGATGAAATTATTCTCTTTTAAAGATCTCTTTTGTTACATACTAGAAAAATCGGTTCTTTAGCATTTTAAGGGTTTTAGCACTCGTGAGTGTGTAACAACTCGCACAAATTAGGTTTTTAAGAGAATTTTTACTAGTATTGAAAAAAAGTAAAAATTAGTTTTGGAGCAAATGGCCTCTCCTATCCCTTGTTCTTCCCATAGGTAAAGGCTCTAGAATACTCGTACAATTTTACAAGGCTCTCCAAGTTAGAAAGCTTGACGAGGGTGTCAAAGGCTTCCATGGGAGAGAGTGTCAAGGGGTGCAAGTTTAGGGACTTGAGTCCAAGGTGTCAACGCTAAGATCAGAGTGCAAAGTCATGGTGTCACACCCATGTACGCGCGGAGCCCTGGAAAGTTCGGCGAGGTGCCTTGTCGGTGGATCAAGTGTCAATACGTGGAAAACAAGGTGGATTTATGGTGTTGACAGCTGAGCATATTTTGATGCTTTCTAGAATTCTCTGGAAGCGGCGAGTGCGTGGAAACGAAGGCTAAACAGTACTCTCAGTGGGTTTGTTGGGATAGATTATTGTTGTATTTTAAATAATTAATATTATTTTTGTTAATATAATTATTTATTATATATTTATATTATTTTTAAAAAATTTTATATATTTTTGTTTCTTATGAAATTAAAAAATATAATGATCAATTAAAATATAAATATATGATATTAACAATTAAAAATGTGATAATATCACCACTTTATTGGGCCACATCTATGTGTGAAAAGTACTAAGCCTTGTACATAATTTTAGGGTAGATTATTCTAGAATTATCCTAACATAGGGTGGGAGGATTGAAGAACCTCCTAAAAAGCGTTCATATAAGTAGTTTTAAGAGTATTTTAGAGTTTTCACTAACAGAAAAGACATAAGATATACCTCTTTTATAAATCAGAAAAGCCATTTACTCTAAGAGAAAGAGATGATCAAGAGCTATTAGCGGAGGGTAAGTGTATAAAAGGGTTATATATTCAATTTATAAAATAAAATTATATATTTTTTTAAATAAATGTGTTTTATAAGCTAAAGCATTAATTTTTAAATTAGAAGAAATGTGTAGAAATGAAAGAATTCTTTCTTTGTTTTTTGAACGATATACATTATGAGGGTGGGGTTCAAACCCAAACCTAAAAAATTGAGGGAATGCACTTTTCAAATAAGTTTAAATTCATCGGACCATTAGATTCAAGTGCGAAATCGAGGAATTCTTTCATCTAATAGAATACCTTATTATTCTATTAGTATGTAATTAGGGTGTTATAATCTAAAATAGTAAAATATTATTTAAAAATGGAAAGTAGTGTAGTACATAATTGAAAGGAAAAAGGAAAATTAGGTAAAACGGTGCGTATAAGTGGTTTTGTAGATGTGTGGTACTTTGAGGGCCGGGAGAAAGGAAGGGGGCTGCGTGTGGAAGGTAAGCAAGATGAACAGCAAGGGCCTGGATATATCCGGAGGAAAATCGTCGCCATCATCGACGGCAACATGGGTTTGGACAAGGTCAGCGTCGGCCTCGGGGAAGAGGATACAGAGGGAGTTGGCGGAGCTGAACATCAACCCACCCAGTGATTTCTATGCTGGCCCCAAGGGTGACAAGCTGGACAACTGGGTCGCCACCCTCACTGGCCCTCCCGGTATTTCTCTCTGCTATTGCTTCGGCTTCAATTACTCCTTTCCTGTCTTTCTGTCTATGGAAAATTTGGTAGCTTTTGAGAATTTCATTTTGGTTTGATATTTTTCCTGTAATTGGATTCAGTGACCCCAGATTATGAAATTAGAGAGAAATTTGAAAACTTTAAGGCAGTCATGGATCCCTCTAGCCAAAATTCTATCATTTTGTAGCATAACTTACTAAGGAGTTGTTTGGAAACCAAAGTCCCAAGAATTTTCTCTCACATGTAAGCATCCTTTAATGTTGGATGTTCTTTGCTCATACAAAGTATTTTCTCTGCATTCTTCGGGAAAATCTCTGGTTTAGCAGTTAAGGGTTAAGGGCCCTATACATATTTCCATGTTTCTGCATTTACAAACCTAATTTCTTATGGTTGCATTCAGTTAGTTTATATTTTCCTTCTTGTTTTTACCAAAAAGAAGGGGACTATTCCATCAACATTGACAAAGCTTCATCATGTTCAACTTTGCAGGAACACCATACCATGGCGGTATATTTTTCCTCGATATAAAATTTCCAAATGATTATCCCTTTAACCCTCCAGAGGTTTGCTCATTCATAACAATTATTTTTGGTAAATAATATGCGTTCTATCCTTTAAATCAAACATATAATGCTGGTTGAAATAAAATAAAATAAAATAAAAAAAGGTAAGATTTCTAGTAATTATAACATTATTCATATTTTTTCACTTGGGGCTTTTAATCATCTGGGGAAAGTAGTAGCTGAGTAGGGAGAATGATGGGGAAGCAGCAGCTGCTAGATGATGATCTGCAATGCTTATTAATCATGCCAATATGTATTGTTAACTTCCAGTACCTTAGTTCCTTTAGAGTTTCTTGGGAAGAGAATGAATAGGGAGACAATTTTGTTGAAGAGTCAATGATGCTGCATCATTTGGATATTCATAATATTGCATATGATCTTGCAAGTTTGTGTGTTGGCTATTTGAAAGTATGGGGCTAATGTAATCTGTGTACACTATCAAATTTATGTTGTTTAGATTTGATATTGTCCAAATACTGTTTTATATTTGGAATCCAAAAAGGCATGTTTGTTGATCACATGGGTTTTCTATACATATGATTGGAGAACTCTGTGACTTTCATCTGGACAAAATTCTAATTTATAATTTTGTCTTGTTGAATGATAAGTATGTTTAGAGATCTTTTTCCATTTCTGCAAAGTTTCTGCAGCTCCTATGGAAATTAGGAGCCAGACCATATGATACTACACTTCCATAGTTTGTTCCTTGTTTATTTTAGTTATAAGGACTGGTATGCAGGTAGTATTCAAAACTCGAATATACCACTGCAATGTGGATTCTGCTGGCAATCTTAATTTGGACATCTTAAAAGATGGTTGGAGTCCTGCCCTAACAGTTACAAAGGTGCTAAGCACAATCAGTTCTATCTTCACAAACCCTGATCCTTGTAAGTTTCTCAATTTCCTGCTCACAGCTCAGTTCCCTCTAAGTTGATATTGGTGCCTTTGGTACTTTTTAGCTCTAAAGAGCTGTATATGCTTGACTGATGTGTATTGTCTTGACATGCCATTTTCATTCTATTCTTGTTTGTGCAGATAATCCTCGCAGCCCTGGCATTGCCCGCTTGTACTTGACTGACAGAGCCAAACATGATGAAATAGCTGCAGAGTGGACGCTGCGATTTGCAAAATGAACCCAGTGAATCTTTAAAAGAGCACTACCAGCCGCAAATGCCTTCTCAACAATTTCACCTATCAAAATATTTGTAAATTCAACATCAGCCGGTTCAACTTGCATCTTAGCTCATTACCACACCAAATTATAGTTGCACCTGTGAACTGTAAAACCATCTCTTTAAATTTAGATCTATTTGACAGGTTGGGAAGGCTCATGCAAAGAAAAGTATCGTATATGGCATAGCGTCCCTTTCCCTTGTAGTCTTTTGTTTACAATATTATAGTAACGAATAGAGAGATGTTTCATGGGTGACTTCCCACGTTCTTTTATAAATTATTTTATGATATGATGAAATTGCTCTACAACGTTTGTTTAAAAGTCATTGTTTTATGGATCCACATATTCTAACATGACATTGCTCCACAACATCACCAAGGCTATTTTTCTTTGACTTCCCAGCTACCTTTTTCTGTCAAATTGCAAATTTTTGGAGAACGAACATGATAGAGCTCCTCTACCAAAAGCTTGCTTTCTCTAGGTCAATCCTTTTAGTCATGAAACCCCACCTTTCCCTTCTTTTTTTTATCTTTTGCAAGTATCTACTTTTAGTTGCTTACCTTAACAAGTTTATAAATTTTAGCTTCTTTTATATTATGATATTTTTAACTTCTCATCTATACGAATAAAAAAAAATAATCCTTATTTAATATCTTATTAATTCTATTAGTTGATTGTTAGTATTTTTTTATATAAAATATAAAATTTAAATTTAATTTTATTTGTTAATTTCATTAATAGAATGCTAACTGTTAACTAACAGAACTAACAAAGTTAACAGTCAACTAACAGAATTAATAAAATGTTATAATCTGATATTAAGTAAGGGTTATTTTCTTTAATTCGTATAATTGAAGGACTAAAAGTGTTATAGTATAAAGTGATGGGTTAAAATTTATAAATTTATTAAGATAAAAGGTTAAAAATAAATTTTTACTTTTTTTTTTCCTACTTTTCAAAGTAATCATTTAATTTCGAAGAAAAGTGTTTTGCTAAGATGTACTTTCAAAAATTTTTTAGGATTTGTTTAGAAGCACGAAGTATATTTAAATTTGAGATTTTAAAATTAAATATATTGTTTATTTTTATATAATAAGAGTGTGTTGAAAATTTGATTTAAATATATGTATTTTAATTTGTGTATTTTAAAAACTAGAGAACTTGCATTTTAAATATCCTCTTACATCCACAGATTTAAAATTGGATTTCAAATTCTTTATTTTTTCTCTGCATCTTCCTTTACTAAGATAAGATTAGCTTCTCTATGATTAAGCGCCGACGATGACATTGAAAAGTGGTGGGGATGCCGAGTCACTTATGGAAAGGT